TGCACACACGGACCCACCCACACAGACACATGTGCACACACGGACCCACCCACACAGACACATGTGCACACACGGACCCACCCACACAGACACATTTGCACACACGGACCCACCCACACAAACACACGTACACACAAACTCATACATGCAAACACAAGCACTCACAAAATCACACACGTGCACACACACTTGTGCACACACTAACTTATACACAAGAGTACATGCCTGCATTCACCTGACAGCACACACACACACACACATGCATACAGCAAACACACAAGCATACACCCATGCATGGCCACGTACACAAAGCAAATATGTGCATGTAACCGAATACATAGGTGTGCACAGGAAAACACAAAAATACACATACACACTTGCAGACACGCACACTTGCATGTAGTGCACACAAGCATACACTCAAACATGCACACACAGGCAAGCAAATGCACGTGCAGGCACGCACGGAGAGATGGGGGCTCTTTGCTTGGAAATAATTTGTTCACTAATTAAATCACCCATCAGCTCCTTTGACACGTGTGCCGTGTGAGCCTCCTTCATGCCAGGGTGAGTTCCGAGTGCTGAAGCTGTCACAGGAAACAGCACCGTCCTGTGAGCAACAGCCTTGAAGACTGCATGGCTCCCTTGTCTTGCCCTGGCCAGAGGCGGGGCCCTGGTTAGCACAGGGCTTTCTCAGATGAAGTTCCAAAGTTTCCCCATAAAAAGAGTTACCCGGAGCTAGCGACACCCACCACATCCTTCCAGGCCTGGCTCCCCTGGACCAAAAGCAGTGGAGTGGGCAGGCGGGGTCTGTGCAGGGGATGGGGTGCCCTCCCCACGCAGGGAGGTGCTCTGCTCTTCCCACCCTGGGGCTCCGTTACTGGAATCCAGCCCCGACCCCACTCCATGGAGCCCAACTGTGCCTCTGCCGCCCTCCTGCTCATCCTTTCAAACTGTTGAGGGCTTGATGGCTTTAGCAAGGCCTGTCCCCTCAAGGGCTCCCCCACCCCACCTGCATGCCAGGGTTTACTTCAGCCTCATCTGGGAAGGGAACATCCCTCGGGAGGTCCCTGGAGTACACAGGAAATGAAGAAGAGGGAAACTGAGACTGAGGCTGCTGTGATTGGCCCAGGGGTCCTGAGTTGGAAGATGACAAATAAACCCCTCCTTGGGGTCAGGATTCTGCTTCTACAGCCGTGACCATGTGGCGCAGGAGCTGGGGTGGGGGGCACCCAGCAGGATGGGGACTCTCACCGTCTGGGGACTGAGGGCCGGGAAGCCCACTGAGCACTCAGGGTGCCCCACCCTGCCTGGAGAGAGGGCGGCCGGCAGTGCCTGTCTCTGGCAGGGTTCAGGCCACCCATTGTATTTGCCTTTAGTTGACAGCCTGGTGAAAAGGTTATTGAGTTCAAAGTTACATTCCTTATCACATTTGTAAGATGGCGTGGGGACTCAAAACTGCACCTGGACTAGTGACCCTCGGCATTCTGTCCCATCATTGCGCAACCACAGTACTTTTGTCTCCCTGCTGGCCTTTTATTAGGTGCGGCCACGGGCTCTTTGCTTTCTCATTCACTGATGACGTCTGTACTAACGCTGACATGCTTTCGAATGCCAATTTGTTGACTGAAGTACTAGCCACGGGTTTTCTTGTTGTTGTTGCTCACACCCAGAGAATGTGGCCTGGCAATCTGCTCCTGGTGGGCGTTATGATGCAATGATGCTATACGGCAGGTGTGCTCCAGGAATGACACACTCATAAGGCAGCGTTTATGAGCCTCCTGTAAAAACCCACAGAGACAAATCGCTAAGGAGCAAACATGTGGAAGAAAGACGTAAAGCATTCATACCTTTAATATATAAAGAGTTCTCAGAATAAATAAGAAAAGCATTTCCCTACTGGGGGTCCATCTTTTGATTTTGCCCATGCAAATGAGCCTGTGGCTCCTTCATTTGTCATAGCTCCCAGGAACCATCCCCTCCTGCCCTTAGTCCAGATGGTTTGGGTGTGCTGACCTATATTCTTCACCTTCAGAGATTAAACATGACATAAACCTGGCAACGAAGGGCCTCCCTGGGACAGTGGCTGGAACTATCAGGGAAAACATATGCTCTTTCTGTAGACTGTGAGCTGGTGAGATGTTGGCTGCCTGTCTCAGTCTGGTTTATGTATCTATAACAAAATATCACAGTCTGAGTAATCTATAACGAACAGAGATGCATTGGTTCATGACTCCGGTGGCTGGGAAGTCCAAGATCAGGGCCTTCTTGCTGTGGCTTCCCAAGGTGGAAGGCAGAAGGGCAAGACAGAATGAGAAAGTGAGAGAATACACACACACACACACACACACACACACACACAGAGAGAGAGACAGAGAGAGAGAGAGAGAGAGAGCAAGTGCAAGATGGAGCCAACCCGTCCTTTTATAAGGAATGCACTCTTGAGATAATGGCATTAATTGCCCTCATCCCACTGGTGAGGGTTGTGCCCCAAACATCTCCCATTAGGACCCACCCCCCAACACCACCTTGCTGGGGATCAAGCTTCCAGCACATGAACTTTGGGGGACACTTTAAAACCACAGCATCATCTTTGCTCCAAACTGGAATGAGCCTGCCTGAGAGCAAGCCAAGGCAAGGAGCAGAAGCAGAACTGAGGCATGTGGTGAAGAACAGACAGATACCGTGTGAGCCTGGGTCTAGCGCAGCCTGAAGCCTGTAGGACCCTGAGTCCCTTATTTGTGTGACCCACCAACTTTCCTTTCAGCTGGAGCCAGATTCAGTTGCATTTCTGCCCCTCACAACAAAGGGAGGCTTGACAGAGACCCACTAATAGAAAACGAGGCAGAACATAAGAACTGATACTCAAAAAACACAAATGGCCAATGAACATGAAAAGAATCACTTTCCATAAGGAAATCCAAGAATTACACATTACAGTAAATGCATGCTATTACGGATCGAACTGTGTCCCCCGACTGAAAGATATGTTAGTCCCAAACCCCAGTCCCTAAGAACATGGCCTTGTTTGGATATAGGGTGGTTGCAGCTGTCATTAGAGGGAGACCACCCTGGAGGAGGCTGGGCCCTAAACAGAATGACTGGCGTCCTTATAAGAAGAGGTGAGGGAGGCCCCGGGAAGAGCCGGACCATCTGAAGACAGTGGCAGAGACTGGATGAGGGTCTGTAAGCCAAGGACTCACAGGGGTCCCTGAGAACCTCCAGAAGCTGGAAGAGGTGTGAAAGGCATCTCCCCAGGAACCTGAAGAGGGAGCGTGGCCTTGCCCACACCTTGATTTCAGACGTCCGTCTCCAGAACTGTGCAAGGTGCATCTCTGTTGTTTGGAGTCGCCTAGTTTTTAATGCTTTGTTATGGCCGCCCTAGGAAACTAATACAGATATTATTTTCCACTTCGGAACTTAGCACAATATTTTTAAAATGAAAATTCTTAAATGCTGGCCCAGTGTAAGGTCAGCGGTGCCCCAGCAGTTTGGCAGCATACGGATCAAAGACTTTAAGACACTTTATCCTCTTTAACTTGGTAATTCCATCTTTAAGCCTTTATCCTAAGGAAAAATTTCATATAGGAATTCAGAGTTTTGGAAAAGATGCTCACAATAACATTGTGTGCAGTAATGTGTAGAAACAGCAAATGTCTTCAAATAAAAATGTTAAATAAATGGGAATGTTATATATTAAACATGAGATATTAGACATTCAGAATAATGTATTTAAATTACATATGATACATGGAATCCTCTTTCTATAAACAAAAACAGGATGTAAGACTGTTCGTATGGGGTACAATCCAGATTTTTTAAAAAAAGTTTTACGACATATATTTAACTAGAAAAAAATCCACCAAAATATTGAGTGATGAAATCTGAGTGGTAGAATTATGGATTATCTGAACTTTATTATTATTTCTTATGTATTAATTAACGTTATTATTTTCATATGTGTTTTTATGATAGTCACATATTCCACTTTATCATCAGGAAAAAAAGTTTTAAGATTCCAAATCCCTAATGCACACTAACTTTTGCTTGAAACTAATGTCAAGAAACAAAGTCACTGAAAATCCAAGATGTAATCATGTCCAACAAAGGCCAACAAATGTAGTGCGAATCTACCCCCATCAAATATCACTCCACTTGTGAGGGCTGTGCCCCTGTAACCCAGTCACAGGAGACCCCATCTCCCAACACCACCACATTGGGGATCCAGCTTCCAACACATGAACTTTGCGGGACACTTTCAAACCATAGTGCCATCTTTGCTACAAACTGGAATAAAACATTTTAAAACTATATATTTATAAAATATAAATTTGGTAGCACAGTTCCAATTATGGGACATGACCGGGCACGGTGGCTCACACCTGCAATCTCAGTACTTTAGGAGGCCGGGGCAGGTGGATCATCTGAGATCAGGAGTTCGAGACCAGCCTAGCCACTATGGCAAAACCCTGTCTCTACTAAAAATACAAAAATTAGCCAGGCATGGTGGCACGTACTGTAATCCAGCATTCTGTGAGACTGAGGCAGGAGAATTGCTTGCACTCGGGAGGCAGAGGTTGAAGTGAGCCGAGATTGTGCCAGGCCAGCTGGGCAACAAGAGTGAAAAGGGCAACAAGAGCAAAACTCCATCTCAAAAAAAGGAAAAAGAAAAAGGTTGGGCACAGTGGCTCATGCTTGTAATCCCAGCTTGTAGTCTGGGATGCCAAGGTGGGCAGATCACCTGAGGTCGGGAGTTCGAGATCAGTCTGACCAACATGGAGAAACCCTGCCTCTACTAAAAATACAAAATTAGCCGGATGTGGTGGCGCATACCCGTAATCCCAGCTACTCGAGAGGCTGAGGCAGGAGAGTCACTTGAACCGGGGAGACAGACGTTGCAGTGAGCCCAGAGATCACACCACTGCACTCCGGCCTGGGCAACAAGAGCCAAACTCCGTCTCAAGGTAAAAAAAAGTCAACCTCCCCCAAAGAGCAATTAGGGGACATAGTGTTTCTAAGTGATATCTAGGGGCAAAGCAAACACAGTCTTTTCCTAAAACCCTCCAGGACATGGTGCAGCCACGGAGTCTCCCCCACCAGGGCATAGGAAGCAGCGGACCCGTCTTCCTCCTCCCTCCGCTGCTGCATTTCCCCCCAGTCCCCGCCACGTGCGAATGCTGAGTGTGAAGGGACACCTACACCTGGGGAGGTGGGGAGGTTGGCTCCAGGTCACCCGCGGGCTGGGGGCAGGCTCAGGCGAGAAGCTGGGCTTCTGCAGCCGCCACCAGGTCACTTCGAGCGGCTCACGGGGCAGTCCCGGGGACAGGGAGCGGCCCCTTCCTGGAGGGCATGGAGGGCAGAAGCCCAGGCCAGGCCCCCGAGGTCCCCGAGCTGTGAGACGCGCTCCCTGCCCCGTGGTCCTGAGAGGCGTGTCGGGCCAGGCCTGTGTGCATCATGTCGCCCTCCCCTGGCCTGAAGCCTGGGCGCGCGGGGCTGGCGGGGAGCTTGGCAGGGGAAGGAAGGTGGGCGACCCCGGGCAGGACCCCCGGGCTTTGCCAGGCTCCGGCTCCCCCTTAGCCCTGGGACGCTCCAGGCAGCCCAGCCCTTCTTCCATGGAGGCTGCGAGAGACTCGGACCCTCCAGGGTCCTCCAGGGACCCTCCAGGCCTCCCTCCGTGTGGGACCCTTGCGGAAGAGCTCCCTGGGGGCGCTGCGGGAACATGGCAGCCGCCACAGCAACATGGCAGCCGCCACAGCAACATGGCAGCCGCCACAGCAACATGGCAGCCGCCACAGC